ATATTCTTATTATTATTACTATTATTAGTAGTAGTAGTATTTTATTTTATTTCAATTATTAAACTGCTTTTATCTCAACCCATGAGTTTTCTCACTTTTACTCTTCTGATTCTATCCCCCATCCCACCGGGGGTGGGGGGAGTGAGCGAGTGGCTGTGTGGTCCTCAGTTGCTGACTGAGGTTAAACCACAACAAAATGAAAAAAAAAAGAAGTAAAATTAAAAAATGTTGCTCTGTCACGTTAGCACAACCCTATGTAAAAATCTTACTGACTCTAAAGACACTGGACAGAGTGGACAGAATTCAGTACCTTTTCACTTCTTTTTTGTAAGTGAAATGTCCCTTTCAGTACATTTAAAGTAAAACGTAACTGTAAAAGAAGCCACATTTTCAATGACAACCCAGTGGTACTTAAATACAATAATGAACATCACAGCAAAACTTCAGGATGACTTAGGACAGCCTGGACTCCCAATTCATAGACACCAACGTTCAGAACACAACCGGAGGGAGAAAGTTTTAGAAAAAGATACATTTTTCTCACTGGGAAACTGATGCTAAAATAATAATCTGTTCCCATTAAGTCAATTTTTTTTCTTCCGACTTGAATAGGAATATGATTAAAAGGACTACATAGAAAGAATAGATGAAATCCTGATTAAAAACTGTTTTATTCAAACCTCTTTGCAATAAAACGCCCTCAAACCAGAAAATAAACATTCTCACAGCACAATGGTTTCAAAAGAGAATGCAAAAAATAAATGTATATAAACTGCATCACTGTGTTATATAAGTGTCCCGTATGGCACTATAGACTACTAGTGCAACTCCATTATTTTTACAGAAAAATTGTATTTTACATTAAATTTGTTTTCAAACATTTATTTTTTCAGGTATGTAATTTAAATTTGCCAAATTTATTACTTAAAAAAAAAATCTATAAATTATTTAGAGTGACCTTTTTTGATGTTAAGTTTCCTAGTTCAGTCAAATAACTTACTGAAGTTGTCATATACTACTATGGTGTCAAATTCTGCCCTAAGATCTGCACAGGCACATGCCTAAAAAATTGACCTGCTAAGTGTGACAGTTTGAAAACTGGATTGGAAGATGGTATGCTTGCAGCCTCAACTAATTCCCCTGAACACGTGTATGTGACTGTAGATCCGGCTGTGTCAGGTTGTTGGGGTTTTTTTTAGAGGAGTTTAAGCCCAGGTAAGGAATGATTAGCATGTAATTAGCTGAAAAGCCATAGATCTTCAGGCAATCTAGTAAGCGTGAATTACTGCCAGCCCTTAGCTAAAACAGCTTGTACGGAAGTCTGCGTGCTGCAGGTATGTAATCAATAGGAAATGGTTGTCTGATTGCATGAATTTTACACATCTTCCAGCTTTCTAATTGATCCGAATGCTACGTCTAGTGCTCACAGGCATCTTGCATAAAAGACTTATGATCCACAGAAGAAAGGATTTTGCTCATTCATCTATGTAATTTTACATGTTTGGTAGATTACCAAACAATTATATTCTTCATTAATTAATCATGCCAGAGCATGATATGTTCGCCATCTCTATGAACAGGTGCATTCTTATTACAACTACAGTTGGGAATAAATCGTGTAGCTGGCCTGTGGCTTGTTTTGAGTTTCCAGCAGCAGTATGTTTCTTAGAGGTAGACTGAGCCTCATTGTAATTTTCTACAAACCAGTATCAGGCCAAAGAGCCATAGGAAAACATATTCTTACCAGTTTGAAGGAAACCTAACTGCTTTTCCACCATCAGGTGAAAACGAATTAGATGCCTTTTCATCCTTCAATCAATAAGCATGTAAGTAACTCATAATTAATGGGAATACTCATGTGAGTAAAAGCATCCATAGGATTATGTGACTGTAGGATTAGACCATATGTAAAAAACAATGGCTTTGGTAACATGTTAATATATTTACTAGTACATATTTTCACGTAGTAAATTCAATCCAGATTATCATATAAGAGCTATAAATTCTGTTTATAAAAGCAATGCCATATGGGCACATTTAAAGTGTGTGGAAAGTACTTTGAAACATGAAAACATAATGCATACATTTGTTTTTTTCTTAGATACAACATGCAAAATAAAAATCTACCTTTAAACTTTGGTATTACTTGAAATTAAGATAAAAGACAGAACAGACTTCCTACTGAATACCAATGTAAATGCAAGGACAATGGAAAACAAATGGGTAACGGAACATTATAAAAGCAAAAAGGGCACAGTACAAGTAATCACAAGTTGATATTATTTAATATTATGATGATAGAGAAAGGAGCAGGTTTACTAACTTACCCTCATCTTTGCACACGCATCCTGTGTTGACTCTGTGCCTCTTAACTCTTTTACCAGCATAGAACCTAAATACTAAAATAAAAATCAATTAAACTTTTTAACTAAAATTCCAGAACAGACAAACATCTGCAGAAATGCACTAAAAATGCCTGAAAACCCATAGTGGTAGCAGTCAACTTAATATATTGCTTTAGAGTTTTTTTACTCTGCAGTTCTCTGATAAATCATTTAAACCAGTGTGTTAATCAATCTATGAAACAGGAACGCACAGCAACAAGTGTACTGAATCAGATGGAGCCCTTTGAAACAATATCTGAAAGTCTTCTAGCTTATCACCTTAAAACAACAAACAACAAGCAAGTACTACAGATTCCATCTTAAAAAAGTCATTTGATTAGAGAATCTGCTTTTTTTAGCTGCCATCTGCCAAACTCATATTGCTATGTGTGCAATCACGTACGTGAAGGCCCCAGCAGCGCTCTTAACCTCTGTGTACTCAATCAGATTCCTCCTTAAAAAAAGTCATTTGATTAAAAAATGGAGAATCTGCTTTTTTTAGCTGCCATCTGCCAAACTCATATTGCTATGTGTGCAATCACGTAGACGTGAAGGCCAGCAGCGCTCTTAACCTCTGTGTACTCAATCTGTAACTAATTTATGTGCAAATAGCAGAGCCCGATGTCAGCAAACAAAGAAAATAAATCTGAACCGAAAACTAGTTTAAACCATTATTTCTTCCTAAGAAAAGGCTGACCCTGAACTATTATTTTGAAGCCTTTACTGATCTGAAGGAGGGCTGGGGTCCTAGCTCAGCTCGCTGAAAGCCACCGTGCTCTCAGAGGAGCCTGCTCGTCTCCGAGGGTACACAAGGCAAGGAGTGCCTCACTGACACATCCCATTTTCTACCTGCCTCTTCCTCACTACGTCACTTGCTGGCACGTGCAGTTTGAGCCCTCCTGCACCCTGACAGTAGGCTATGCTCCTCTGGATTTGTTCCTCTGGGGTCTCAGTACCTCTCTACACCATGTTTGAATGGCACTGCTCCTCCAGGGATGGAGCTGGCTGCATCATCCCTGCCGTTCTCGCCTAGCAGCGAGCAGTCTTGTTACTGCTAACAGGGCTGTGCGAGAGCCATGCTCTGCATTTCTCCTATAGATGCTACAGGCGTGTGGATTTGTGGATGCGCACATGTTTGTATAGCTCTGCAAACAGGATGTTTCTGTATTTCTATATGGTGTCACACGCAAGTCTGGGTTAACTGGGGAAAGAGGACAGCAAGCCACCCCTCATCATCTCCTCCCCAGGCACAGAGATATCTCTTTTTGCATTCTCACTGCAGTGCAATGCCATGGCTTCTCTTAAGTCTTCAGTCCTAAGTGAGCAACACAAGAGCTGAAGACAAGTCATGCCACTGGTGAGAACGCGGTGAGTGCTGCTGGAGGAGAGAAAGCGCCGTGGGCAGGAGCCTCTTCCCAGAGGATGCTGCAGCCCACCACTGCTGCCTCACCCCTTTCATTCTACCACACTGACTCTCCTTGGAAACAGCCTAAGCTGACCCAACCAGATAGTGAACCAGCTTCATCTTAAACAAGAACCTATAAAAAAATAACTTCAGTTACAGCTGAACGCAAGCTGGAACTGAACAGAAAGTGTACTGGTTCAACTCTCTGGTGTCCTGACCTAAACTGAGATATTTTCTTTAAAGCCTTCAGTTCACACTGTGTACCACAGATGTCTCTGACCTGCAAGAAAACACATAAATATTTCAATGTAGACAGTAGCCAACATGGTATTTAGTGAGAAACACTTTACAGGGCATTATAAATGGAAGGGTGAGCAACACCAACACTAGCAGATAAGCACAAGCAGAAAGGAACAAATGAAAGGCATTCCTGGAGGACTGCAGATCTGAAAGATTCATAAACCAAGCAGCTGCAACTCCAGCTGGGGGCTCGATGGTGACATGAAGCCCCCAAGGGCTTTGGGCATTAATTTGATGGGATGGCTTGATATCACCCTTGCAGAAGAGCAACGAATTTAAAGCAAGCTCTGAAATTAGAAAATTAACAAAAAGCATCTTGAGTTGAACTGTCTCTTTCTCCGGATCCTGCTGTCTGACACCTTTGGCATCCTTAGCCTTCTTTGGGAAGGAGGCAATTAATTTCTTCAAATTTTTTTATTTTATCGGTTTTTTTATAGACTACGGCACAACAAATTGGTATTTCCTTGAAAGCTACCAGTCGGTCAGGCATCAGGCAAAAAACAAGTGCTTTTGAGCTCATGGCAGAACAAGAGGAAGAAAGAGGAGATGGGCAGCTCCTGTCCCATCTGCACAGCAGCAAAAAGCCTCAGCTGCAGGCATTCAGAAATGCTTCCCAGGGTGAACTGTGGAATAGACAAATCACAGAGGTACTGTCCAATTTAGTTGTCAGAAAAATCTGAAATTCTAGGTGGGAAGTTTGCTTTTCTTTGACTTGCTGTACTTTTGGAAATGTTCCTCCTCAAAGACCCAGAGCATGTGGGAGTGACGTAGAGGACATCCAACAATTCAATTGAGCGATGTGCCATACAATGAAAGCTGCCCCCATTATAACTTCCAAGCCAGGGTTTTACTCTGTAAAGCTGAGGTCAATACAGCTCAAGGAGCTGAGACAATGCAGTGACGCACGGTCCTTAGGAAAGGACGGTGTTTCCTTAATCACTAGTAACTTGGATATTCCTGGTCATCCCAACTTCATTTCTTTAATGATCCACACTCTTTCCAATCTACTACAAAGGTTACATCTGATTATGAATTTACTGCTGGATCAAGTAATGAGATAAGAGGCACTCTTGAGATAAACCTGTTCACTTTATTGGAAACTATGAAAAATATTTGAAGAACTAGAAATCACTAAGCTTCCTTTTCAATTTGAGGTGCTGCATAAGAAGGAGAGCAAGACTGAGAGCAGGCGAACTGGACCTTGACTGGGACTTGCTGAGGAAGGCAGAGGTTCTAGTCACTGTCCAGGGACAATCACTGCATTCATGGCAATTTCTACCCCATGAAGGTCTGATGAAGGATACAGACTTGCTCCAGCAAGACAGGCCTGTAACACCCCTTCTGTCCCTCCTCAGTGGGAGCCAAGCTCTCCCTCACCTGCACTGTCTCTAACTCCTACTTTTCTGGATATGACTTAAATCAGGTCCATCAGCCCTCAACTTTGCCCCAAAATGCTCCAGTGTCTGGTGAACAGAGCATTATCCTAAAAAGCACTAAGGATCCAAGCTTCTTCAGGTGAAGAGGATCTAAAACCCATGTCCTGGACAAGTGGTTATTGTTATATCCCCAGCTATTATGCTATTATGCTATTAGCTATTAGCTAATCAGCTATTAGCTTATTAGCTATTAGCTATTATGGTGAAGAGGATCTAAAACCCATGTCCTGGACAAGTGGTTAACCCCCAGCTATTATGCTAAAGGCACTACAACTACTGAGCCCCTGTCCTTTGTAAAATAAGTCAGCCTTGCTTCATTAGGTGGCCACCTCTGAAGAGGACACAGTGGTCTAGGAAGCACCTTCAGCAACTTCAACAGTGCTTTCCAGCAAAGTCGGAAGGGGAAATGTAAGAGTTTAAATAGCTGGGCTGAAGCACTTCTTCAGCTCACCAGAAGCACCAGCCCCCCAGCCCTGTTGCCGGGAACTCAAGGCTTCAGAAAAGTGTTTTTCATTTAAAAAACAAAGTCTTCCAATATGACTTTCTGTACTTCAGGAGACCTTCCTCTCCTTCACAAGCGTTTATAACAGCCGAAGAACACTAATTGTCTTTAGCTGTAAAGGGAGGCTCTGTTTCTCCAGGGACGGAAAGTGGGAATTGGTTACAGCTATCAGGAAGTAAAAATAAATACTCCCTGCCCTGAAGGAACTGACTGCTACAGGTACTTCAAGTAGTCACCAATTTGGGAGAGGTTTGAATGTTCCCTTGTCCCATGGATGGAAAACACTGCTTCAGGACCCTGATCTCCATCTTCCCTAGCTTCCTTCCCCCAAAACAGGTGTATAAAATTCAGGCAAGGCAATACCTACTTTAAGTACTGTGTACACAGCATTAAGGTAGGCATGAAGATCCCATATTATGATTTATTATTTTTCCACAAGTACTAGACAGGGATTTGTGACAGATGAGAAGTACGGGTGTTTGCTCTCTCTGTCACTTCTACAACACTTAGCCACTTATTCAGTGTCATTTCTCTAACACTACTGCTACATGAACTGCAATACATCACAAAATTAATAGCAAAAAGTACTGTGCATCCTTGTTTCTCATTTATTACAATTACAGTATTTCAGAGGCAGTGGACAGTCTCATTAAAAGTGACTGAAAAAATATAAATGAAAAAAAACAACAGTCTATCAAAACCTAAGATTAATATATCTACGCCAAATCAAACCACTAAATTTATCAACACTTACAAATGCTTTATAATCGCATGACTGGAAGATGAGTTTCTCTGGATGATGTTGCCAATATTGTACAGGCGTTGATGCTGTGGCTTCATTTGGAGGTCGCAAGGTAATTGAAGGCTCTCCCCAGTCTCCTGTCTGAAAATCACAGTTGTTGGAGATGTAAGAGAAGTTGCAGACAAATTCGCTATAAAGTAGCCCTCCATTGTTGTGCTCAATTAGCAATAATTTTTTTTCTACACATAGAGCCATGTTACTAAAATAAGGGAATACAACTCCTACAACATTTTTCGTGATTTAATTTATAATACAAAGTCATCTACTGTAGTGTTTAATGAGGCTTTAATTAAATCTATTTGCTTTGAGAATAAAACCATTTGGCACTGGAAATGTTCCTTAAAAATAACTGTTTACAATACATATATGAGGATGAGAGCACTTGGAAAAAAATCATGAGATGCACAAAAATGCCATCCACAAATTCCGCTATGTGTTTTACAAGCTTTTCTACACAGTTAATGTCTTCCATTATCCAGCACATATAACCAATAACTAACTTTCCTAAATGGCTAAATAACTGAGACTTTGCTTTGATCTGAAGACTTATTATACATTCTTCAAATATATGAGGCATTCTTTAATCTCTTTATGAATATTTACTTTGATCACCTTCTCTTGATGTCTCACTGTAGAGTTACTAACATTGCCCTTCCACATTCATCATTCTCATTGATATAGGTGATTGCCTTCCTGAGCTGTCATCTCCCCTCTTTCCTCAAAGGCCTCAGAGAACATGGGTAGGACTGCAGTTTGCTGCCAAATCCCTTCACAGGACACTCTTCTCCCTTCCAAAAAGAGCCAACGCAGGCATTGGTACAGGAATGCCCCCAGCATGGCAATGCTGGTCTGGGTCTCACCTGCCATTGTGTATTTTCAAACATGGCTTTATTGGACCTGGACTGACCTCTGGGCCCTTGGGGGCTCCTTCCACCTTGCGCACCCATGCAAAAAAAAATATTATTTTGAAGTTATTTATTTTTTAACTGTGATCTCTCCTACTTTTCGTTCACATGTGCCCACACTGCCCATGTCCTCAACACCAGTGATGCTGCCAAACCAGCGCCAGCTCACTTTAACTGAAAATGACCCATGGATGGAGTCCTCCTCCTCTTCCCAAGCCCTCTTCCCTCTGTCACCAGCCCCACTTCTCCCCTACCCTGTCTGGTCTGGTCTGTCTCTGAATTCCCCTCTCCTGCCCACTCTGTCTTTTGGGGATCAGATTTCTCCTTCCTGATCCTCCTTCTTCCCCTGCTTGTTCTCCCTCAAATTATTTTACCCTCTCCTATACAATTATTTCAATTTGGATTATGCTACTTCTTTCTTTACCTGCACTTATCTCTGTGTATTTTCTATGCATGTCATATTGTTAAAATATGTGTTGAAGCTGGCAAGGAATTGTCATCAGCATTTCACACAGAATATGGCTAGAAGCTAAGACTTTTAAAGCAAAAAGAAGTTAAGCATCAAAAACACATGAAAAAATTCTTATCCAAGACATTCAAAAGTCTGGCAAACTATCACATCCTGCTAATTAAATCAGGACAGAGTAAACAAAACAAGTACATCATTTTCATGTGTCACAAAATAATGAAATGACACACATTTGCACAACTCTGCAATGAAAAGCAAGAGATAAATCTGGAAACATCAACATTACGCTGCCAATATGGTAACTTCAAGCAAGTGAACATCATAAAACAAGTTGAACCTAGTTAATCTTGGCACTATTAGCACATCTACAAATTATACAGTATTGTAATTTCTGTTTTGCCTAGTTAAGTTGCCTATATGCTATGGATATGACTTCAACCTCAAATTTTGAAAGGAAAGCAGCAGGAGCAATTGCTCCAATTTTTGGCATTCTGTATCCACAGAAATGAATCCTTCTGACCATTAATGTGTAAAAAACCTTCTATCATATTTAATCTGAAATGGGAATTTGATTTCTTTAAGTAGCAGTTCTCCTTATAAAATAAGGTTTCAATCATATTACAAGGGGTAAGGATCTGCATCCTTACTAGTGGAGTTTGTATTTGACTACAAGAGAAGATGGATTGCACCCATCACAAATTCTCAGTGTGCTCAGCTGTCTCTCATGAACTGTTCAAGGCCATAGCTAACAGACCACTTGAAATAGTCCTTTTTTTTTTTTTTCCTAATAAAGATACACTCCTGCATGTTCTGTGTAAGGAAGCAGATCTCAGGAGGTTCATCCTAGCCATTTAGCAAAAGGTTATTATGATGGAACAGGAGTAAATTCAGGACAGAGAAGCTATAAAAGTACATCTTTTGACCACCGTTTTTTCCACCGAGGAAGCATGGGGATGGCCGTGAGGTAGGACCAGAATTTTTATGGAATAAATGACCCTGGGTAGTGCTCCAACCCTTTTGTTACGCTGGTCTGCAGGTGACTTTCCTCGCATGCAGAAAATGGACAGTACTGACAAATTAAGCAGGGTACCTAATGAGTGAAATGAGTACATCGTTTTACAGTTTGACTCCCTTTTACATGAAAGATATTAAAAACATGGTGAATCGCATTGTTTCTGTCTGTAAATGAAGGGCAGTAACAAGAGGAACAGTGATTACCTCTCATATTGGTTCAATTTTATAAAGGAGCTAGGAAGCAATAACCACGAGAAAATGAGAAATAATCTTCAACCAGGCTAATAAAACTAGTGTATGAGACACTTAGGGACTTTGTGGAGACCATTCATTTGTATCCATTAATTGCTCTATACATATATACAATCATCCTAGTACCTACTCCTTTTAAATTAGATAAAACAGAATTGATAAGATTGCTGTACATGTCTCTAGAATGATCTAAACACGCGATACAGCTGAGGTTAAGGGAACGCAGAGACACGGGATTTCTGCTGTTCCTGACAGACCACTGCACCTGAAGACCCTTCATGTATTTCAGTGTGTCTTGTAGAGGGAGCAGCTACTAAGAAAAGCTGCATAAAATTAAACATCATAGGTATAGATTACTATGATGGATGAAGACGACGTGTTATACATAGTGATAAAATTTTCTTTTGTAACTGTATCATAAGTGTTTTTTAATATTCAGCAGAAGTGGCTTCTGGTCTCCTTTCCTTTTGTTTCTTACCAAACTCCTTAGATTTTAAAACCATACTATTGCTAGGATTCATTACCTACTTAGACAGAGTTATAACAGGGTAGTCTCCAAAGCCCAGATCCATGAAGATGTTTAGAAGTGTAATTCCTATTACATTCTCCCCATGCAATTTCCTTTCATTTTTTTCCTTTTTTTTTTTTTTTTAAAAAAAAAAAGGCTTAAAAACAAATTCCCCATGCAATTTCCTGCACTTTTTTTCCTTTTTTTTTTTTTTAAAGAGAAGAAAGGCTTTTAAACAAGATTTAGACAGCTAAATACTTTCATAAATCTGGGCCTAAAAACCTCTACAGGAAGAAAAGGAGCTCCTCAGCTGACTGACTCTAGTCAGATACTTAAATTCTGAGAGTTAGGATGTGATGATGGCAATTAACTTCAGGTAAAATAAAAAGTAGGAACATCTTTGACCTAGAGAAGACTTGAAACGACAAGTCTCAAGTCTGGGGTAGAAAAATAGGAATTACTAGTAGTTCTAAATCTGAGGAATTGGTGTGGAACAACTCATGGGTGATGTACTGAGATTCAGGACCTTCATAAGCACCTAAAACACTCTCAAGCAGTATAGAAATGTTCATAAATGGCCGTGCTGTACCAACTGTAATGTTTGATTTCATTTTAAAAAATAGATATGATAGGATAAGGACTTTCTGGTTTGAAGATTTAATTTGCAATTATAAGAAACAATCAAACATTTAAGCTTATGTATTTTTTATGACACAATACACGTATCGAGATTTTTATCTCTCTGATGAAGTAGAAAGGCAAGAGATAATTTATTCCTCATCTAACTTTACAGCTCATCAGACAGCCATGCAATTTATCACATGGTTTTTGCTGTACTGCCTGTGTTTTAGTATTCTAACCTCCCCATGCCTTTAACCAGTGCCTTTCCACTTTCTGGCCTCAGTCACCTTGAGAAAGAAGATTTTTTGCTCCACATTTTGCAGATAAAGAATTTACAATCACAAAACGGTCTCAAGTCGGGTGCCAGAGTGGTAAAGATTCAATCCTTTTACAGTGACAACTTTTAACCATAAAGGTCATAGCCTTAAAGGCCAATATCTCATGCTCTTGCAGTGCTTCATAACCCTGAAAATGGGCAGATGCGCACTTCTCAGTGCTCTAGAAAGGATCAGATGCTTGATGTCAAATGAGCTACAGAAGCAGATTACTGCTATTAGGTAATTTTTTACAATTGTTGCACATTTTTGTATCTCATCCCATTCTCTGAAACTGTATTTGACTCACATTAAAGGCATCTGGATGCAGAGGTAGTCATGGGTAAGAAGTAATCTCAATACAACTTCTATAAAACCTAACATCTGCCTCATCTTTTTATAAAAATGTCAAGTTAAAACCCCTCCATGCTACAGGGGGGGAAAAAAAAAAAAAAGGCCTGGTTTTGAGTGGCTTGAAGGTAGTCATTTTTAACAAGGACCACATCTTATAACTTTTCACCTGTTAAAGCCTCATGCCTAGTTATGGTAACGTGCATTAGTCACCATGACAACAATAAATTTGAGCACACATAGATACAACGCTTCTGGCTGAAAAACTAATAATTTTCTCCCTATAAGAATTTTAAGTGTTCTGTGGACCAGCCAAATCCTCATTATTTGCTTACATTTTAATTCCTAGAGTGAGAGAAGTTTTTTTAGCTCCTTATATCTTTGGCTTTTGAAATAATGGAAAGAGGTTCGTGGCGTACTTACATTTTACAAGCTTCTAAAACTCGGTAGCCAAAATGGCCCCTCTCTGGCAGAAATGCTCCAAGAAGACAGTTATATGACAGAAATCAGGAGAAATCTACAGCTCCTCTGAAATACTATGCTTAGTGAAATCTGAATGACTGGCTGTCGTCCTTACCACGCTGCAATACGGATCACCAGGTTTGCTCTCACGTGCACAGCAGATGTGCCTCTGTCACAGAAGTGAT